CAGGACAATTTGGTAAAATATATATTCCAGTAATCTTTTATTCTTCCAACCAAACACTGTATTCTTACATTCCTGCCAAATCAACCAAACACAGTAATGTAACATTCACAATAATCCTATTACTTGGTAATCTTTTATTCTCACTGATAATCTTATATTCCGTGAACCAAACGCAGTCTTAGGGATTCTTGTCATGACTAGTGAACAAAACCATAAAATTCACTTGTAGCGGTCTTCTCTACTTGATGGTTTAAAAATTTATCTTTTAGTTTAGTTGTTTTCTCTACTTGATATCAAATTTGAAAGTTTAACTAGATTAGAGGCTAAATTGGTGAGATTTTTTTATTATTGATGCAATCATCAGTTGGATCGATTGTTATGCAATTGGATTTTAGATTTTTTATTATGAATGAAGTTCTAAATTAAAAAAAATAGAAAACATTGAATAAAAAATGTATTTGCTTAAATGTTGTTATTGTAATATTTAATGTTGCTTAAATGTAATTAAAATAGAATACATATTGTTTCATAGTCACTGTTTTGCCAAAAGCCTTCATTACGGTCAATATGATTCAAATTAATTAACACATTGCAGTACTCTTATTCTAAATAAGCCATTGCCGGCATACAGTAAGGGATTTATGTAAAAGTTCAAACACTGATCAGTTGTCGGATGTTTGGATTCGAGTATGAGTGTTCTTCAGTGAAAATAACGAACGTTACCATTCTCCTAACTCATGTACATGAGTATTCCTAGGCAGAAGATAATTATTGGTCTTAGAGATCAAGTTGGTGGAGCTTTCCCTGAAAAATATTTAAGTGAAATATTCAAAACATGTAAGAGAAGCTCAGCCGCAGCCTGAGTATCATAAACAACTAGTGGTTTACAATTTTTAAAAATGAAATCAGATATTTCAAGTTCACATCGACAAAGTCTAAATCACTTTAACAGATGAATCCAACAGCTTGATAACAAAAATTCAATAGGTAATACCTGAAAGCCATCGCTAATGGAAGGCAACACGGAGATCTGCAGGTTGGAAGGGAGAGTCGCTTGGAGAAGTGCTCCTTGAATCTCCACGCCATGCGCCTGAACTTGAGCAGCAAACTGCAAGTTCCACAGCACATCCTCAATAGAAGGTCTCTCTGTCGGGTCCATTAGCAGACATCGGACACAAATTTCCATCATCGTTTTTAACGACTGATCAGAGCAAGATGTCTGAACTGCTGGATCAGCTATGCTTCTAGTTGCATCATCGGTTGCTACAACCGCTTGTAACTGCACAGGATTGTACGACAATGAATTAAGGATTCATTCGAGAGTTTGTTTGTACAGTCAACAAAGGTAACACAGTATTCTTTTTAACTGATGCAAGGAAGAACAGTTTTCCAAAGCCACTTCATAGTTTTCGAATAATGGCGGTCTAGTGAGGACATATTATTCATGATTTTGCATCAACCAATATGAACCCTACTTCATCTAGAAACAAAAAAAAACGATGCAGAAAATACATAGAAGCCATCATATCATGGTAGTACAAATTCTCTCTGTTGCTTCAACTACATTTTTTCTCGTATCTGTTACATATTCGGACGTAGATATGATGATATAACCCTCCAAATATATAGAAAAATATTTGAAAAGACTGAACATACTCGTGCCACACACATAAGTGTATCCGGAACTCACACTGAATCCAAGTAACATCGGAAATTTCTACTATCGGATTCAAACATATATTATTGTTGTGATGAGAAATGGAGGGAAAGGGAAATGATACAACTATTGTAACATCTCTAAAGACTATGATTTACCTGATTTTTGAGAATCTGAACTTCATTCCTGGATTTGATGGCCTCCCCATAATCATTTCTAATAAAATCACTCCGAAATCATAGACATCGACCTTATCTTCATAATTTACCCTGTCAAGTAACAAAAAGACAGGCAACACTTTAGCCGAACTTCATACTTTAGATCCTCCTATGTTCGGATATGGGTATGTGTCCCGCAATAATATATATGTGTGTGTGCGCGTGCATTTTTGTGTTCATGTGTGTATTTGGAGGATCACCACTATACCAGTCACCTATGTTCAAATGTATCACAGATGTTGGAGGTATATAATATCAAATTTAGAAAAAATATCTATTGTATGAAGAATAAGATTTCAGAATAATCAAAGAAATTACTTATTTTGCAAGTAATGTTATGTATTTCTTTGCATGAGTTTCACTTTTAAACAAATCATACAGATAAATCCAATTAAGATACTTGTTTATGAGAATCTGACAGGCTGTTATATATTAAAAAGCTATGTTATTTGTACTCAAAAGAGTCTGACATGGATATGTATTTAAAGGGACTTTGGAGGATCATACTCAAACCCATCTTATATATGCATTTAACACGATACTTTGAAAAATGAAAAACCAGAGCATAAGCATCACAAACATCTTAGTTGAACAATCTCTGTTCATTACTGTATAATTTCGGTACCATAAAGGATGTCATTACGAACCTTGAACTGTTACTGAGATCCTTGGGTAGAGCAGATGTTCTGTCACCTACCTGCGAGAATGAGTAGTGAAAATATTATCTCACACCATCAATTTCAAGGAAGCAAAACGTCCGAAAACATCTGTTAAAATGGAAACAATGTTCTTTATTGTTCATACCTTCCCTGCACTCTCTGCTAACAAGGGCAGGTTGTATCGGCTAATCTTTACTACAAGATTCTGGTCCATCAAAACATCGGTTATTTTCAGATTATTCGAGTAAACACCAGGCACGATCCCCGTGTGCAAAATTGGGCCCTTTGCAATCCCTATCGCAGCGGATATGCGTTGTGGCCATGTAAGTGATCTTTCAGAATGTCCTTCTGCCAACAAGAATGTCAGTTATGAAAAACCACCCGAGGTAATATTCAGGTTTTTTGGGGATGGAATGCCAGGAAAATAAAATTTTAACAAAGAGATTTAGAATTACCAGATATCCAGCTCCTTAGAGTTCCATTTGGTATGTATTCAAAGATGAGAAATATTCGGCTGACACTTGAGTCATCCAAGTAGCACTCAAAGCAGTGACCAAGAGCACTGGCTAAATGGCGGCATCTTAATTTCGAAAACATCTCTACATGGTGCATAAAGCTTTGAGTGCTGTGGCTTTTTTCATTTTGAGGCATCTAATGGCCACGAAGGTGCCATCTCTCAGACGACCCCTATACAACTGAAATCGTAAAAGCAATGAGTTAAAACATTTTACAAAGAAGTTATCAAAAAAGGGATTTTATTAAGGAATTTTTCAGTTATTTTGGATTTTGGATAATAGGAAAATGAAAATATAACTTCATCAGGCTCATAGTTGGAGAAAACCATGGGAGCAAATGCACTGCTACAAGAAGAATGTACCAGGTGAAAATTATGCATATCACGTACCTGCCCTTGAGATCCTTCACCTATAAAAGCAGTAGTGTCGAAGTTGTTCGTGGCATCCTCAAGATCTTCTAGTGAAAAGGTTCGATAAGATGGAAGTCCGAGTGCTCCTAGCTTCATTGTTTGAGATATGTACCCTTCAAGTAGCCGCAAAATATTGTTAGATTGGAATCATTGTTGGTAACTACAAAAAGAGAGATCGAGAGAAGCCTTACTTGCATCGGATAGTAACTTCGATGTGTATGCAATTGATGCTTTCTCCGTAATCAGTCTTGTAGTTGGTTTATTGATCGTCTTATTTGCACTCAATCTCTTAACAAGCATGAATATGAGACCCATAAGTACTATTCCACCAATGATTCCTCCGGTTATCCCAAATGCAAGAGAGACTTTCGAAAGTTTGGACTTCTTACGCTGAGGTAAGATTCCCACAGCGAAGGCTTCATTTCGACAGAAGGTAACTGGATGTTGGTTTTCAGTTCCAGTTGTGATGCAGTTTCGCCTATAAAGGAAAACTGCGTCTTTAGAATCTGAAAGACAGCTGGGCAAGTGTCCAGTCAAAAGATTCGAGGACAAATCCACAAACTCAAGTTCTGCATTGCAAGAAGTATTTTCGAAGAGCTTCCCGGTGAGTTTGTTGTCTGATATATTCAAGTAAGTAATGGAAGGGAGGGATAACAATGACAGCGGAAATGGCCCAATAAATCGATTGAATGACAGGTCTAGCCATTGAAGTTGGTAAAACGAGCTCAGTTCAGACGGAATGCCGGATCTAAACCTGTTCTTTCCCAGTACAAGGTGGATCAACTTGTTGCCTAGCCGAGGAAACCGAGGTCCAAATGCATTATCTTCGAGATCAAGCTCTTGAAGATTTGTCAAACCGCTAAAATCAGGCAATTCTCCTTGGAAGTGATTATGTGAAAGTGCAAGAACTCTGAGATTCTCCAACATGCTAAAAGAACCAGGCAAAGATCCATTAAACAAATTCTTCCTCAAACTCAGAACAGTCAAAACCGGAAATGAACCTAGCCATTCAGGCAGCTGACCGGTAAACATGTTTTCATCAAGTATGAGCGTCTGAAGGCTGGTTATAGATGAAAGCTCATTAGGGATGGTTCCGTATAGTAAATTTGAAGTTATATTAAGTATCTCTAATGACGACAAACGTGAAATTTTACCAGGCAACGGCCCCATAAACCAAGAGAAACCAATGTGAGTACTCTCAATCAGGAAGCTTAACAAGTGTTGTGACAAAGGAATCCATGGAAAAACTTCTAGGTAATGAAGGGACCCCTTTATTTCCAATTATATGCAACTGAGTTATGCTTTCTTCATAGCACACAACGGTTACTTTAGCCGTAGGTTCAGCATTGCAAAAGTCGACAGAGCTATTCCAGCTACTCAGAAAATCAGGATAATTCAAAAGCAACTTAAGTCTTAAAAGGGTATGAGTCTGGGAGGATTGTAGTTGCTCTGATTGATTGATTAAGAGTAAAATTACACCGAGAAATACAAACGCCTGATACTTGAATCCTCTAGCCATTGGAAATATATCGAACCAACATTAAAGGAAAAGCACTGAGCATTCAAGGACTAGAAAATGAGCATAAGTTGTAGTTTGTAAATTATCAATCACTGAAGCTCACATGGACGAAGCTCTGCAAACATTACCATAATCATAACATTTGGAAAATGAAACAAACTCAAATGGATACAAAAAAGAACCGGGATTTGAAGTATAGCATAGAATTATCTTTTAAGTTAAGATACTCAGAAGTAAACAATTCAAACAAAATCTGGTAATGTAGTGTTTAAAGTATTATTGCTACCTCTTGAGAGAGAAGATTGAACAGAATCCAGCTCAACTGGTGGTGGTGCCCTGCAAAACCAGAATCTCTTTCTTCTTAAAACTCCTCAAAAGGTAGATGAAGACAAGTTTGGACCAGAAATTGCTTGCTGGAGAGAGTACTTGAGAGTTTTAAACTATTCACAAAGACCAACTTAAGAATAAATAATTATGACTTCAAAATGAAGAAAGTCCAAAGCCAAAACCCCCTAAAAGAACATAACTTCTCCAAGTAACTTAAACCAAATTCAGCTTATGGAGTTTCACTTGCATTTCACACTTCACCAGTTCAAGCAAAGAAACTAAACCTGTGTCAATTTCAGCCAAAGACAGGTAAGTAACACGGACTCAAACAAACTTTGTAAACAGACAAATATTTCACACAAAACCTAACCTGTAAATCCCAGGAACAGACATTTCAAGTTTTATTTTTCAATGAAAAAAAAACTTGGGGATTTTCACAAACAAGTTCCTTACTCTTTCAATAAACCTTTTCTTTTTTTTACCTCAAAGGGTCTAAAGAGAAGCCATAGCTGAACAAAAAAAAACTTGGGAATTTTCACAAACAAGTTCCATACTCTTTCAATAAACCTTTTTTTTTACCTCAAAGGGTCTAAAGAGAAGCCATAGCTGCACTCATAAAAAGCAAAAGGGAGGGGGGAGGCAATCCTCTGTACCCTTTATTCCCCATTACTCAGAATTGCCATACAAACCTAAAGAGAAGCCATAGCTGCACTCATAAAAAGCTAAAGGGAGGGGGGAGGCGAACATGTTAATGAAGATTATCAACATGCAAAATGTTAATTGTAGGTTTGGGTGTCGCTGTCAGGGTCTAGTGACATTTGGCTTTCTGTGGGGCCCTGTCGTGTCCTGTCAGTCATATACTCGAAGCCATCGACCCCACTTTTCGATGTTGCAGTCTGTTAACTTTGGCGCCTTTCCTTTTCATTTTTCTGCTTCATTTTGTTTTCTTCTCTGTCTCTCTCTCTGCTGCTTCGCCATTGCAGCTTGGCATTGTCGGTAGTTAAATTCCACATCTTTATGGGTTAGGCAGGATCAAATTATATATTTAATATTGAATCAGAAAATTAAATTTAAAAAAAACTGACCAATTTTAACATTCATTTGAGTCTTTTTTTTTAGTTTAGGGATTCTGTCTGTGAATCAAATAAGGAATCAGTGGACCTCGAAGATGGAGCAAATAGTGCAGATGTTTGGCAAAGACATGTGTAGGCTTCAAGTTGAAGACAAAACAATTTTGGGGAAACTCTTACAAACTCAATAAATTTACAGTCAAACTCTATTATTAATGGTATGGACTGAGGTAAGCTTTATATTTACTTCAAATCATCTTTATCAAATCTCTCCTATACATATATTAGCATCATATTGAATGATTCTGGGCAACCATCAAATAAATAAATGGTTTCATACTCATATTATAATAGTTTGATCTATTTTTAATATATTTTTACTTATAAATATGGCATGAATATAGGGAGTATGAATTATACTTGATTTATGTCTTGAAACTCAATGAGGCAACTTCCCCTGTAGTGCTAGCCAGACTGTCCCTCACTACTTTGTGCGTTCATTTATTAAAGCATATAGTTTTCAGTGAATTTTACAGAGAACTTTACAAATAAATATGTTGAAATCTCAAACCAACTTCCAAGTTGATGTGTAGAAACTCTTACATTTTATAATTTAAAATAAAATAAAATTATTTTAAAAAAGACAAGCATTTATTATAATAAAAAATAAAGAACTACATGTAAACTTTAAATAAACTTTTTATTCAAATATGCAAAATAGAGAATATTTATAATAATCCACGTACTTAGAGGGTGACAATAGGAACTTAACAGCGAAGAGCAGCGGATTAATAATTTAGGGGCACTTTTTAAAAGGAATCCAATCCAATAAAGATATAAGTTATTTCTTTAGGGAAATAATATAAAAAGCCCACCATAGATTTGGCTGATGTAAAAGCTTGTGGATTCCTCCCATCAATAATGTCCTTCGCATTTCACTTTCATTGCTCAATTATTTTCCTAGAAATAAATTCAAAGATTTTGATGGGAAATTGGATGTTCTTTGCCGTCAAAATTACCTATTTAAACAATTAATTATTATTCAATTTTTATTTGATCATTCAATTATTATTATTATTATTAAAATTATACCTAACGTTATTTTAATTATTATCGATAAATAATTAACAGTGAGAGTAATAATACTTTTTTATTATTTTAAATTTTAATATAACATCTTATAATATATAAAAGCGGCTCGTCGTCTAGCTCCCATCATCAATTTGCAGTCAGATTACGGAGTGAACTGTTTAGTCCCATCTGTTCTACCATTTACATGTTCTCCAGATGCCTGCACAAGAAAAGAAATCTTACGTTTCATCTCCGCAAACAGTAATTATAATATGAAACCCAACTACAATTCTTGACACTATCTTTCATTTCTAAATCCACTCAAGGCCTAAAAGCATAAAAAAAAATAGACACCGACGGAACTTGAACAGATTAACGAAATATACTATTAACCAGATTTGGGATTTCAATCAGTGTAACGAGTCTTACATTTAGCAGACGCCCCATTCTAAGTTGTTGAGCAGCAGCTTCAAATGCAAACATTTTGCAATGAATGTCTGATGATGTCAACAACATCAACGAGATATCGCTCCACGTAAGGGTGTTTAGATTTTACAATTGACGTAACTTGCTAGCTGTTACAGGCATCTGATTGGCTTTTAGCAGTGAAATATACTATTAACCAGATTTGGGATTTCAATCAGTGTAACGAGTCTTACATTTAGCAGACGCCCCATTCTAAGTTGTTGAGCAGCAGCTTCAAATGCAATACATTTTGCAATGAATGTCTGATGATGTCAACAACATCAACGAGATATCGCTCCACGTAAGGGTGTTTAGATTTTAACAATTGACGTAACTTGCTAGCTGTTACAGGCATCTGATTGGCTTTTAGCAGTAAGAGTGTGTAAAACCAAATAAGAACTCTAGTAAAAAAAGGAATGAATATAATGGAAACTGAAAAAAACTTGAAGTTTATACCAATTTCAAGAAGTACTTTATTTGGCAAAATGTAACCAGTGCTTTCATCCTCAACACGAGCGATATAGTCTCCCATCTACAAAGCGCCTGTAAGCCATTTAAGTGAGACATATAAGCGAAAGATGGGATATCATCAATCTATAAAATCTTGACAGACGCTTCTGCACATCAAATATGTGGATCAAAATTGATATTGAACATTTCTTGTGGTTTATTAACTATTGACGGTTATTGTAGAAGTAAATTAAATGTCAATTAAATATGAAAACAACAAAAATTACAGCAACAATGATAGCTGTCTAGCATTGAAACCAGCCCCCTGCAACCTATATAAAATAGCAGAATAAATACAAAGATTCAGCTTGAGTTTGCATCAGCAATGAAAATCAGACTGGCTAGTTATTTCTATCTGGTCCAGTACATAACCAAGAACCAAGGAAACCATGAACCGGCATAAAACCAGGGACGGACGTAGGAATTCATGATAGGGGTGCAAACTTAAGAAGTTATATTAAAAATTTTAGGGGGTGTAAAATTAGATAATCAATAAAAAATACAAAGAAAAAACCTAAAATATAAGAGAATTTATTTTCTAGGTGGTGCGACCGCACCCCCTTGGTCCATCCCTGCATAAGCCAGTTCACTGGAAAAATCTGACTTTTGCAATTTCTTTTATTTTTATTAAATTCTTTTTGTGACAACATTTGAATTTACCTCTGTTCTTCATACCAACCATTAAGCCAAATGCTAATGTATAATAACTATCTACTAGTAATACTTATTTAATATCAATAATAAATTTAACATTTTAATTGCATCATCCGGTTGAACCGAAGACTAGAGGGTCACGTCGGTTTTACCTCTGCCCAGGTTTTTATTCATTGGTTTACATAAGACAATTAAACATTCAAGCAACCATGTATTGTGATCTGAGCAAGTAACAAACCCATATATGTTGAATATGAATTTGGCGTCAGCAGCTCTTCTCATACAGTTGCATGCATACATCAGAACTTCGCTTGTAGACCTGCTAGCAAGAAATTAGCTAGCAAGATAAGTCCAAATCAATAGCAAAACGCAACAAAGTCCGCAAAATTCATACATCCATGTAAGCATTTTTGAAAAGGTGAAAAAGCTCCAAAGTGCGAAAAAGAAAGCAATTTTAAAAAGAACAACAAAAAAATATGTTTTAGGTAATTTTTGAAGTTGAACAAAATAGAATGTAAGAAGCCAGAAAATTGGAAAGGAACAAAACCTCTGTTAGAGTGGTGTAAGTACTGGATAAAGATGTCTCTGATATGGATCTTCATTTTTTCAAGTTGCTCCATGTATTTGAATGATCCTTTGAGACTATGTTTGCTCGGACTCTTCATTCTTCTTGAAGCACTTATGTCCACAAAGATATGGGATATGACCTCCAAGAATCCCCCAAATACATGGAAAATTTAGGAAAGTCTAACCATATCGTCAAGTGTTGGACTCAAGTGCCAGATATGGGTACTTCAAGAAAATTGAAGAGTCGGAAACATAGGACAAAACTCTTACAATGTGATTAACATTAAGACTATGGAACCTCTTAGTTTCTCTTCTAGATGGGGAATTCTATGGAATGCCAAGGTCAATTTAGAAAATGCTATGAACTATGATTTATAGTATCGTACCTCTACCAAAGGAGCATCAATATGTTCAGGTTCCTTGGGCATCGGAGCAATTTGATCCTCATTAAATCATAAACATATAGCAAATAATGTGTATCTTCTAGCATATCTGTCATAAAAATAATAATGATATAAAGAAACAATTAGTTCATATGAAATTTTTCAATAGAGACAACAGGTGAACCTAAAAATGACACAAAGTTTGTCCAGGAAAATAAACATGTCACAGTTTTGCAGGAAAAAATTAAAGTCGTGTCACAATTGGCATAAATTGCAAACCTAAAAGAGACAACTTAACAGGTGAACCTAAAAATGAACCAAAGTTTGTCATCTATGCTAGAATTTTCAAAATCAGTAGATGAGACAATTGCTTTATTTTCTCTCTTGCTAGAAACAAAGTGATCAACAGCAATCAATCATTAACCTTAACGACAGTGCAAATGCAGCAGTTAGACATTATTAATATGAGAGAGATAACTGAAGGGTGAAACAGAGCTAAAAAAACGTTACCTAAGCATTTCACTAGGAAGAGGACGCAATCTCCAATCTGCATTCTGGTACCTACAAAGAGATGACTAACAAGCTTAATGAAGATGTAGCAAATTACCACCAAAGAGAAGTGATAGTGTAAAGAGAAAGAAGATCAAACAATAAAAGAAAACCTACTCTTTGTTGGCAGTAACTCCACAATAGTGTTGCAGAAGATGCTCTAAACTATTTGAGAAGTGATAGTGTAAAGAAGAAGAAGAAGATCAAACAAATCTAAAAGAAAACATACTCTTTGTTGGCAGTAACTCCACAATAGTGTTGCAGAAGATGCTCTAAACTATTTCTTTCCATTTTCAAGACCCTCGAGGCCTGAGAAACATGAAACAGAACAAGTCAACATTATGGTAAGAGTCCAACAAAAATTGTAACTTCAAATTCAAAACATTCTATCTTTATTCTCTCATTGAACTAAAAACTAAGCCTAATATTTTCCAATCAAGACAATGACACTTAAGGTAAGTAGGCTCTAAGGAATCTGCACTAGGAAGTCGCATTTCCAAGTCTGCAACATATTAACTTCAATAAATTCCATTGAGATTAGCATCCTTTAAGTTAGTTTAATCATCAAAACCACAAGTACGGAGTAGTCAAATATAGTCTTAGATACCAGTTTTCTTTCCACTAATTTACTCTCATGTCTAACAAAGAATTTCATAGTTAACAGGTGCTACACAGACTTAAATTCTTAAAGATACAGACAACCAAGAATTTAACAGAAATTCTCAAATTAAATCTTCAAGCTCATAGAAGTAGAGGGTATAAAACCTGTCCATATCAAAGAGATGCACAAGTATATGCCAAAGTCCCGTTGAAGCCAAGATCCCTGTCTGCTCCATGCATAACCTATTGAACTAAGGATATCAAACAATGCAGTAGGCCAATAAAAAAAATTTGCAGCCAGCAAAGAAACCAACCTTTTTTTTTGCGGGATCTTTGAATATTTCCCTAAGATATGGACCGATATGAATTCGAAGCTTCAAAGCATCTACAACAAAATCCTCGGTTCTGGTAGAAATTTGCATCAAGCAAGTCAATCCTTGGAAAGATCGATATTGATTATGCTCCAAATCAACCTGAGAATAATTACATTGAAATTAGATTCATGAAAAGAGGTAACATCTTATGAGAATAAAGAAAATAAACCAATGTTTGGTGCACACAAGGTTCATTCAAACAGGTATCGCTTATAACAGAGATCCATACAGCATTCTTCAGACTAGGGTCACCAGGGAAAGACTTCATGCGATATCTTGGCATGCAGTTATAGAGGAACAAATCACATAAAAGGCATATTAAAATTAATCATACTCTTACCGCAAACTCATGCACGCTGCGTAATTTAGCTGCTAACTCTTTCAAATCTTTTACTTCCTCAACCAGCTTGAATGGGGTAGACTCAATTGATGGGGGTATTATGGGCTCAATATCTGCTATATCTTTATCCACAAAATCCATAACAGATTCTTTTTCCTGTAAAAGAAGAGCAAATAAAATATATTTAAAAAAAGCTCTGTTAATTTGCAAGCAAAAAGAAAAAAAAAGAGGATGAAGATAAGCAGCCAAAAATTTTTGGCCAAAAGAAACAGCCAATTATTTACAAACTATTGTTGAACACAGTGGGATGTATGTGAACTACAGATATACAACAAGAAGTAGAAAAGGGAATATTTTGTCACATCCATATCTAGATTTTGTTACCAAGGTAGCTATTAAGAACATGATTTAAAAACAACTGCGACTTTCCCATCATCTAGTTACTGCATCTAAAATAAACATTTGCATCAATAAAGAATTCATGCCCTAGCAAATATACAACCCATCGCTCAAAATCTAATAAAATCACCAAATCTATCTCCCAGCCAATACCAATAAAAGCATTTCAAAACGGAATCAGAAATATAAAGAAAGCATATACAAACAACGATAACATGCAAATTGACTAACCTCAACAAAGTGAACAAAGTTAACAAAAGAAATAACATATATCAAAACAAGAGAAAACCGACCATTGGATGAACAAAACGCTGCCCATCCTCAGTCTTCTGCAACCAAACATGTACAAAAGGCTCATTCGAATTGTTCACAAGAATATTATACTCTTCCTGCGGCTTCCTTATCGAAGGTATATGGAATGGAACTTTCGCTTTCCCCGTCGTCACCGCTGCCAACGCCCCTTTCTTCACCTTCACTCCCGAATAAGAACTCGAATTCCAACCTTCCATCCCACTCGGTGACTCACAAACTGAGTCTCTTGTTAAACCACCATCCCCTTTCTTTTTTTTATTACCCTGAACCAATTGAAACCCGTTATTGCTCGGATCCGACCCATCAACGCAACCCATTTCCTCTTCTTTCTCTCGAATCTTTTGAAATTCGTCGACGGAAACGTTGAATTGTTCCAAGATTCCGTCGTTCATACCAGTGAGCCAACGATAAGCTTCATCGTCGGCTATCCTGTCAATGTTGTTAGGGAAATTGATCGAATTGTTGGGGCCCGAGTTTTTAGACGACGAGCCAATGATTTGCAGCAAAGAATCCGATGTCTTATCGATTTGATTGATGGGGAGTCTGAAATTGTCGAAGTTGTTAAAGAAATTAAATTCTTGATTGGAAGGGAGGGTTCGCGAAGAGGAAGAGAGAGGACCTGGAACTAGGGTTTTAATATATTGGGCATTTTTTGAATGATCAGATCGGGCTTCCATTGCTATGGGATCGTTGTCATTTTTCATGGTTTTAGGGTTTTAGGTGAAGAAGGGTTAGGATTTAAGGAATTTTTTGCTGCTTATTTCATTGAAGACGACGAGGAAAGAAAAAAAACTAAAAGAGGAAAGAAAGTATTTTTATCAAATATTTAGTAAATAAAAACATTTGTTTTTAAAAGAAAAATGTTTATTTTAAGCTATGTTATTAAAATCGGACCGGACCGGCCGGTTCGATCAGTTGAACCGTGAACCGGTGGCCTATCTCGTCCGGTTAACTCCCAAAATCGGATTAACACAGAATCGGTAAAGAACGGAAGAACCGACTGAAAATAGAAAAAATTGGGGTGAACCGGCTGAAAACCGACAAAACCGGTTTGAATCGCCGATTCACTTTTTTCTTTAAAAAAAATTAAACCAAACGACAACGTTTGTTCAACGAGCCGAGTCAAATTCGAGTATTGCTGAGCTCGACTCGAACTCGAAAACTTTAAAAGTAAGCTCAACTCGACTCAAAAACTCACGAGCTAAAAATTATCAACTCGAAATATAATATTAAAACTTGAAATCGAAAATGCTCAAACTCAAAAAAAAAATTAGAAGTTCGATTGAAGCCTAAAATTTTAGCTCAATTGAAGCCTAAAATTTGAGCTAAATTGAAGCGAAAGATAGTTCGCTTTGTGCTCACCAAAAGACTCCATGATTTTGAATGTCAAATTACCTCTATTATTTATAGCAGTAAGTTGGGATGTTCTTCTATGTTTCTTAGTCATGTGAGATTTTTTTTTAAAACAATTAAACCAAATGACATCATTTGTTATGATTTTTTTAAGCCTCAATTTTATTTTTTTATTATAGTTATATAATTATATTTATTATTTAATATGTTTTACCTTAAATATTATGTTGTAATTGATTTGAATCATTTTGTTTCACTTAATTTTATGATTTTTCATTTATACATGTTATGACTTGTGATATTTTTATACCTTTTAATATTGTAAACTTAAAAAAGGTATTACATATATATTAATATTACTTTGAATATTATATAAAATAAAAAAAATATTATTTAATATAAAATCCGGTTCAACCGCGGTTGAACCCGGTTAAACCAGTGAACCAGTACCTTCACCGGTTCAATGTCAGGTCCGGTTTTGAAAAAATTGATTTTAAGAGGAAATGTTCTTTAATATTATCGTTAGTTTAATTTTAGTCTCTAATATTATTGATTCATTTGATTTTAGTCTTTCGGTCGTTAATTCTCATTTAATTTTAGTCTCTCAATCATATTAGAAACTTAAAAAAAGAGATTTAAACAAAAGGGGTTAACGAAAAATTAATATCAGAGATATTTAAACCACACATATCGATAATGTAAGAGATCATTTAACCTTGATTTTTAAAGTTGTGACTAAAGTCGGTCAGCCCTAAACAAAAACAACTATTCTTATAGTTTAGCCTTATTTTAAATATAAAATATTTTATTTTGAAAAAAAACGTTAAACAATGTATTAATATAATTTCAATATATTAACTTATTTTTCAACGAATTCTACCCACAATATATAAAACATAAACATATAAAATAAAACGATTAATCATCTACCATTGGCAATGATAATTTCTCATTTATTTGTGTTACTTTTGTTTTCTTTTTCTTTCATTGAAAAAGTTAGTTTAATATTAATAATCACACTAATAATATTTAACGGAAAAAATTATTACAACGTAAAATTCAAATATATTATTATAGTTAAAAAATTTATTTATATTTTTTTCAAATCTGTTAAGTCAATCGAATTGATGAAATAGCTAAGAAGATGTGAATTGACAAATAAAATTTTTGGTGAAGTTTAAAGATAAAATATAAAAATTGAACACAATAATTTAGAGTGATTCGACTTTATAAACCAAAGTTCACATCCACTACCTTAACTATCCACACTAAGGATTTTTATAAATTCATTAATTTGTAGCTACATTTGAAGATAAAGTGTAACCTTACAACTCCCTCAATAATTATACAATAAATTCTTGAGACATTCTCTCAGAGAAATTTACAATTTACGAACTTATAAAACTCTCACTATGAAAGTTTTTGCACAATTCAATAACAAATACAAACACTTGAGAAATAAATACAAATGAGTACAAAAAGTGTTATTTGAAAGCAAAAGGAATTGAACAATGTTGATTAATTTTGGCTCAAATTTATTGTTTTTGACTTTCTCTTTTATCTCTTGTCTTCACATATGATTTTGAATATTGTTTCTATAATTCCTATATTAATTTTAACCGTTTGAGTTGTTGTGAGAGAAAATAGAGCAGTTGGGAGGTAGTTTCCCGCAATAAATGTTGTCCAGAAATTTGTAGTATATGTACTCGGCCTTTGAGTATCAATACTCTTTGCATTAAATATAAAATATAGTCGTTGGGGAAATGTAGTATCGATACTGATATAATAAGTATCAATACTACTATAATAAGTAATATCGATACTTGTACTAATATCGGTACCAAATGAGTATATTGGAATTTAACAATTTCAAAAACAAAAGGGTCGAATCGGTACTAACATGTGGAGTATCGATACTACTATGAAAAGTAGTATGGTACTAAAATAGTATCGATACCAAATGAGCATTCTGTTTTGTCAAACCTACAAGCAGTATCAGTACTTCCTTAGCAGTATTGATATTATTGCATAATTTTGGGCTTCAGCATCGATAATTGTATCAATACTTAATGAACAATATCTATATTGTTCCTGTAATATCGATACTACTATATCTAAAAATGTATTTTTGACTCGATTGAAGTTTAAAACTCTTAATAAAATTTAGTTCAAACATATTTACAGTATAAGAATCAAATTTTCAATTGAGTGATCAGTAAAATAGTGTTTTTAACCTCAAAACAATTTATATATTTAAATGACCAAATCAAATATAATTTTAAAATTTGTTAAAAATTATTTAACATTTTTTTATATCAAAATATCAAAGTATGTTCAACAAAATCATTGAATGAAACAAAGTTGTAAAACAAGAGATTTTATATATAAAGAAATATTTCATTAACAACATTATACGAAGTAAATGTAATAATTAAACAAATACTATAACATAATATTATATTATTATATTTATTCTGTTTATTTTTTAATTTATGAAGAGTTGTGATTAGTGGAAAAATGATTTTGATCAATATTTTCTATAAGAGATATGAAAATATAAGTAGAAATAGTGGAGAATGATTTTTTCTCAGTTGTGACCGATGGATATTTATAACTATATTTAGTGAAATATCATCATGTCAAACATATGATCATCGTGACTACTTATAAGTTAGCAGATTTAGTTGAATTTATCGTTAAATCTTGAATTTCGCTTTGATAAATCACATGTATCTATCAAATGTCTTATCTTATCTACGTACTGTGTAACATCTCAAATCAGGATCAGTGAGTGCTCGATTTCAAAATAAGTTAAAAGTTCAAGGAATTTATAGAGAATTTTATTCTAGAGGATTGATTGGTAAATATGAAAAGAGATGAAGAGTAAAGAGGTCATTTGGCAAGGAAATATTTTTATTCTTTCCTTTTTAAGGGAGTAACCACGTGGATGAGAGGAAGAAATATCCAAGCTTCCAGAGTTCTCATCTTTTCTTTCTTCTTCATACGTGGGAGCTCAAGGAAAATGTGAGAGTTTTTATTAGTTGATTATTATTTGAATTCTAAGTTGGTTTCGATTCTTTGAATAGTAAGAAAGCTTAAGGAAGTCTAAAGATAAGTAAAAACTCAACGACGAAGATGTTAGGAGAGATTAAGTAAATAGAGATTTTAAGTGAAATTTTGAATAAGAAGGTTTAAATGAATTTGGAGGTTGAATTTGACTTGTCATCTATAAGAATAAGAAGTATAGGTGTTAGAATTAAGTTTGGATAACATGATAAATTTGGTATGATTCTTGAATTCCATTTGGAATAGGATTTTGAGGATAAATATGTGAAAATGAGAATAAATGAGTTTAAGAATGAATATGTAAGTTAAGAATAAGAAAGGAGATGAAATATGAAACATTTGAGCTAAAAGGAAGTGATTTTCGTGCAAAAATTGGAATTATGGGCTAGTGTGCATCTGTACACATTTAACATGTACCGATGCATCAAGGGTAAATTTCCAGAAATTATTTAGTGTGCATCGATGCACATGAAGTGCATCGATGCACCCCTTAAAATGAAAACATCGAATGTAATTTGTGTACCGATGCATAGGTAGTGCATCGATACACACGATAAGGAATGCATCAATACACTATAGTGTGTACCGATGCACTTCAAGGGGAAATGAAATAGATCTTTCTTTTAGTCTAAGGAATGAAATATTAGAGTATATCAATTAGAATACTGATATGGACCCATGTATAATTATGTAGATATCGAGTACGAACAGTTACGGAACGATCATCAAGTTAAGATTCGATTGTAAAAAAGGAAATTATAAAGTGGATTTGAAACTTAGTGAGGCCAAGGTGAGTGCATATTAGATAATATATGATGTTTAATGGAAATAAGATTTACGAAAAGTCTATTTTCTATATCATTATGCATGAATTCATGAACTTGAGTATGTGTTTGTTATGAGAATATAAGAATATAAGTATATGAAGAGTCATAATAGGACAAAATATAAGTCATATGATAATGAAGTATAAGATTATGTGAAGATATGGTCATAATATAAAATATGTAATAATGGAAGAATATGATGAAAGTGAATTCATGAAAAGAGATAGGAATTAAGTAAACATGTGTAACAGTTATATGAATAATAGAAACATAAGTTGGATAAGTATATAGTGGTATGATCAATTATGAGGAATTGTAATAGAATTAGATGAGTTAATGAGAATGGGGGAAAACTAAATAGGATTGAACTATAGAATGAAATAGGAATATTATATCAATTAGGAAATTTGTATACGAAGTGATGGTACGCACCTATAAGATAAGTTATATGCTAAAGAACTATGGAGATATGTAAAAAGGTTATAAGAAATATATGAAATGGAATTAAGTAAATAGATTAAATTAGTATATAAAAAAATACTATTAAGTGAGATATGTTTATAA